GTGCTTTTGACTTTTGCAGCCATGTTTTATACATCAAACCACAATTACCTTTTCTTTCCTGTTTTTGGAGGTTTAGCCAGACTGTTTTAGTAGGCACTAGCATTGATAGCTCTATAGTCCTTTGGCCTCTGGTCTGATATTTGAAGCTTTTTATTATGAAATTTCCTTTTTATGTGTTTATGTTCACACTAAGTGGAGACATGAACCCCTTTCCACCTAATGAGATTAACAGAAGCTTCATTAGTGTCTTTAGTTTGAAAATCAAACAACTAAATAAGCAGAGAAAGCTTATCAGGGCAGGGAGAATATTAGGAGGGTAGAAGGTATTTGAAAGTTTCCCCTAGATGAATATTCTTCAAGACAGAAATATAACAGTTTAGATTATGTTTTAGATTTGATTTAGTTTAGATTTAAATTTTACATATATTCCAGCCAACTCATCTTGTACAATTATATTGTGTGCAATCAATATTATTACACAATAATTTACCTCTAAATTTTGGTTTCAGGCAGAAATACCAAGCAAACTCAAGAGTTTGGCATTATAAACATTATAAACATAAAAACCTACTTCCTTCGTCTTGATGTTAAGATAAAAGTATTACACCCACTTGCTGAAACTTGATTTTCCATGGTAAATAATTTCTTCTTGTGTGTTGCATGTAAAACAGAAGAATGTCTCTCCAACTGACGTTCAGCAGTTTGGCCAGGTGTGTTGTTGCTTTGTTTTGCTTTCTTGGCCTACCTGCTGGTCATGGATGATCACCCTGGCCACATTCCTTAAAGATTATTCCAACCACAAAACAGTTAAGTATTTTCTTCCCTTAACTGACCTTTTCATCTACGCTTTGCCTGAGACGAAATTACCAGTTAACAAATTTCATGCTTTAAGAAGTGATTTTGATTGGGAGGAATTGGCACAGAGTGCTTCCCCAAATTTATTTAAAGCAGAGTATTCTTTCTTCTATTTTTGAGACTAAAATGCTACTATCATTCCCAACAGAAGTTACAGTTCTCTCTCTACTGTCTAGCCCATCTGGATTCATCTCTCAGCCAGATGTTCTTCATTTCCTTTAGTATAGTCCCTCTGTTCATGGCCTTGATAGAGGGAACAAAAAAGGAATGAGAAGAGTTGAGAGCTGGATGGATTTCAGTTCTTCTCTCACTTCTGTACTCTGCTTTTAAATTCTGTTCAAAAGCTCTGTAAGGAGACACATATTTCATCTTCTATAAACTATATCATGAAACTAGAGCAGCACAGTAGAAAATGATTCAGAGCATGAACTTTCAAGTCAGACCTTGGTTTGAGGCCTTGCTCTGAAGATTACTAGCTGTATGATCTTGGGCAAATAACTTATGATCTCTGAGCCCTGAGTCTCTTACACGTAAGTTGAGGGTAAAAAAAATAGTACCTGCTTCATAGGAATGCTGTGAAGATTAAAAATGTAAAGCGCCTAGCTCAATGCCTAGCATATAGTAGGCATCTAATTAAGTTAGCTATTGCTAGCTGATTTCATATATCTAACTGGAGATGAGTTTCTCTTTGTTGAGCAAGTGATCTTATGGCAAGAGAGGAATAGATTTTCAATTGTATTCTGATAAGGGTGACAACTTTACTGTCGCTGTGACAGAAAGATGATCCCGTGTCATTTTATCAAGCAGCTAATTTCTCTCCATTTTTAGATCGAGAATGATAGTCTCTTTATCTTGTGTTTTCCTTAATATAGGATTTTTAAGTCCTTTTGGGTTTGCATTTAACTTAGACATCTGTAATCATGCATGGATGGCTCCGTAGAATTTACTGGAGAAGTCCTATTTTTGGATCCAGACTAGAGAGAACTAGTTAATTAAGAAAAAGTATAAAAGTTTTCACCTGACATAAATTTTTCATTAGAGACCAACTCTATGCCGATTGAATCTTCGGGCCACTGTTTCAGAAAGACTAATATTTACATAAATTAATCTCTTGCTATTCTAGCAAGATATACTAAGCTTTCCCCTTACACTGAAGTATGTGTGATTAAATTTGCATATAATTTTCATATGCAAATAAAGCATTTAATTTTCAAGTTGAATTTGATCCACCTCAACTCAGGAGGTTGTGAATTTGATTTTTTCACTTCCCTGCTACTGTAATGCCATCACATCTTTGATAGCATTTATAGAGTTTTGACATTTTATAAGAGATTTTTGTAATCTGCCACATTCATTCCTTGTGACCAACAGTATATGCCACTTGTGTGATAACTCGAGAGTCATAATCTGGGGTTACAAAATAAAGAGGGTTAATTGTATCATGTAGAGTGTGTCTGCTATGACTCTGTGGGACCCTATGCTGCACCTAGGGCCGTCTCCTGGCTCAGCTAGATCTGTTGTGCACTGTTTTATCACAAAAGTTTATTGAGAATTGTGTAGATGATTCAAATAGAAAGGCATCTTTTCCCTTTGCCACATGTGAGTTTGACTTCTGGTCTTTCTCTTATAAACAGAAATTTTCTAGGTAACTTTGAGTTAACCAAAGGCCCTTGTCCACTCACCCAATCCTCCCCTTGTGAAAGCACTACATACATTTTAAAGCATACTTAGATATGCTTTAAAGTAAAAGCAATAAGTGTATCTAAGAACAGTATTACAGAACTCCAAAAACCAGGAAGGTAGTTTTTAAACTAGTATTTGTCAAAGAGAAACTACTTCTCTCAGAAAAGGAGTGACTGAAGTATGCCTGGTTGTTTTCAACTCTTAACAAATATACTTCTTTTGTAGATGTAGAGACTACTTTGTTTACAGGAAACCAAAGTGCCCGCAGCTGTAACTTTGTCTGGTGATAGGTAGAATATTTAGCCTTTATTTTTAAAATATTTTCATTTACTAAAGCAGACAGTTGCTGTGTTGGCAGAAGTGTGAATTTCATTTCCTGTCTGTGGTGTACCCCACTCATCCTGTCACTCAGACATTTTGTTTTAGGTTGTTCCCGTAATGTGAGTGACCCACAGCAGGGGAACATGTGCATACCACGAATGTAACAAGAGACAAGACTTGTGCAACAGACCACAAGAAGAGCGCAATGCTTTATTTAAAGATGAAAACAAAACAACATAAAGGCAGCCCCTCCCAGCAGCATACAAATTTTAAAGTGGTGTCTGTGGATTCTTACGTTTATTTTTAGAAGCCATGTTCCAATCTCTTTGGCAGGTTACCTCAGAGGTTTATCAGCTTCATGCCACTTGATTAAAGGATAGAATTGAGTCAGCAACTGACAACATTAGCGAGGTGACTTAATTTCATTTGCTAATTAATTTATCATCAAACATTTATATTTTATTGTCTGTTACTCTGCCACATATGTTGAGTTCTGTAACAACAATTTTTTACATGTGAGATTACAGAATTTCCATTTTCTTGTCTTAAATTACAGTTCCTGCTGTAGTGATGAGACAGATATAACAGTGTGGGAAAAACCATGGCGTGAATGAATTCGATCATCAAATATCTATTGAGCGCCCGATATGTACTTGGCACTATTTCCAGTGTTGTGGATACAGTGCTGACCAAAATAAAATCCTTGTTCTTCGTGAAACTTATATTCTATTATAGGAAGATAACCGCAATCAAGTATACAAGTGAATAAATATAGTTTTAGTGCATGATAAATATCCTGAAGAAAACAAAACAGAACAAGATAGAATATGATTGGAATGGATAGAAGGGGAGCTCTGACTTAGTGATAGGGCAGGAGAAATGTGTCCCAAGTAGAAAACAAAAAGCACAAAGGCCCTGAGAAGGGGCCTGAAATATGGAAAAAACACAAGGCATTGCAACTAGATCATAGTAAACAAAAGAAGAGATGGAACAAGATCAGAGAAGTAACTTATCAGATGTTACAGGGCTCTGAAGTCCAAGCTAAAGACTTCAGCTTTTATTTATAAGCTCAAAGGGAAGCCATTGGAGGGTTTTAAGCAGGAAAGTGACATGATATATTACCTATAAATTTAAAATACAGAGATCTATAAACAGATTTATAATAAATCACTCTGGTTGCTGTTTGGTAAGTGGATAGTAGCAGTGCAGAAGTAGTCGGAGACGGACCAGTTAAGAGGCTTTATGGTGATATAATATCTGGGATTAATTTCCCTTCGGGGATAAAGCAAAGGATGTTAAACAAAATTGGCCATGAATTAAAGCTGAAATGTGTGAGAACATGAGAGTTCATTATGTTATTACATCTACTTTTGTATATGTTTGATGTCTGTAAAAAGAAAAAAAAATGCTTTAACAAAAGCTTTTTACAGTGGTCTGAGTGAAAAATGATGGTGCCATGGACCACTGTTAGAGTGGTAATGGAGATAAGTAGACAGATTCAAGATGTATTTGAAAGTAAAACTCATAGGTTTTTTTTTTTTTTTTGGTAGGGAAAAAGAGAAACCAATGATGACATATATTTGGCCTAGACAACTTGAGTGGATGAAGCTAGGGATCAGGTTTACAGGGGACTCAAGAGATTAGCTTTGGCAATGTAATTTTGAGATGCCAATTAGTTTTCCAAGTGGAAATGTTGAGTAGGCAGCATAATTTACAATACATTAGCTAACCCTGAATAACATACATACTTATATACAAACTTAGAACTCTCCGTTATATGTTTTACAAACAAAGTGATTTAGGCCCAAAAACTTCACTCAGGTAAGACGTAGCAGAGCCAAGATTCAAACCCAGGCATTCTGGTTCCAGAGCCTTTACCCTTTTTGTGTGTGTTTCCAGAGGCTTTACTCTTAACTGCTACTATGTAATGCGTATAGAATATTGTATAAGTTTCGTTTCAGAAAAATTGTCTAGAGTAGAGAGGGCTGTGTGAATGACCAGTCTCTTTTGATTTTATTTTTACTTCATCCCGTGAAGTTGGGATTTTGGAAGAGAGAAGAGAGAATGATACCAAAGTGGGTCTCCATCTTACTCTTTAATTTCCTTCCTTAATTTATTTTCTTTTGACTTTTTCCTTATAGCATCAGCGAGAGCTTTCTAACTGTCAAAGGTGCTGCCCTTTTTCTACCACGGGGAAATGGCTCCTCCACACCAAGAATCAGCCACAGACGCAACAAGCATGCAGGTAAAGTTTGACATAACCCATTCTTTCTTGGTTCCTTTGATTTTCTGTTCTGAAAGTCTGGCTACCTCATCCGCATTTCACCAACAGTTCTGTAACAGTGAAAGAAAGCACTAGACTCTGCTATGATCACTTTTGTTTCACTCTCATAGATCATTTTTCCAGCACTTAGCAGAATACCTTATACATTTAATAGATGTTCAGTAAATTTTTGTTGGGAAAATAGTAAGTTACAAAAATACTCTAATAAAGTCTTATATGACTTCTCAATTAAGGTTTTGATAGGTAAAATATGTTCAGATGTTCCCTCAGATCTATGCAAAATCATTTCAGTTAACCAAAGGTTACAGTTGTTTTTCCTGTCTGCTCTCTAGTGATAGTATAAAGAAAAATGATATGATATGATAGATAGTTAATATATATACTAAGATAAATAAAATAAACTCAGTGTCATGGTTGTGATAACAAGAATTACTATATCACATATTGAAATGCCAGTTCTTAAATGCCAGAGTCTTCTTTTTGATTGTGTTTGCATTAAAAAGACTGGAAATTTAACTCAGAGGACTTTTATAGAAACAAAGAGTCATCAAATAAATATTCATCTAGAGATGAGTATAAGACTCTGATTTTGAAATAACCTGTTAATCTGTAACCAATTCCAATATGAGGATTTCCCCGCCACATATCCAAGCAATTCTTGGACACCAAGTGGGTGTCCTACAATTAACTCAATTCTGACACTGTTTACCTGGAGGTAACATCAGATCCCACAGGTTAAAGGCTTATTTGTACAAGGTTGCCCGCCAGCGACCCCCCCGCTCCCCCTCCCCCCGCTTTAGATGTCAATCACAAATCCAGGTTGTCTGTGGATTGGAGTTTCCAATGATCTTCTCCTTGAGTTCCATTAATTTACTAGAGGGGCTCACAGAACTCTAAGAAACTTATTATAAAAAGGTATAACTCAGGAACACTCAGGTGGAAGAGATGCATAGGGCAAGGTATGTGGGAAGAGACACAAAGCTTCTCTGCCCTCTCCAAGCATGCCACTCTCCCCAAATCTCCATGTATTCACCAACCTGGACACTCTTTGAACCCAGTCCTTCTGGGTTTTTATGGAGGCTTTATTACATAGTCACAATTGGTTAAATTACTGGCCATTGGCCATAGACTCAACCTCCAGACCCTCCCCAGGTCCAGACTCTTCCCTCTTCTGTTCCCCTGCAACCAGCGTCTATGCTTAGGTGCTTTCCAAAAGTTATGTTATTAACAAAACAAAATACACCATTATTGCTCTCATCACTTAAGAAATTCCAAGAGTTTTAGCAGCTCTGTATTGGGAACAGAATGAAGACCAAATATCTATTTCTTATTATAAATCATAACATCACACTCACTAATAGTAGTAAATGCTTTTATATTTCCATATGTTGGATTTTTCTAAAGTCAGATGCACTTGTGCTGATGAGGTTAAGAAACAATCTAGGGAAAGTGGTCTCTAGGTATGGAATATTCACAGTTTAGAAAGATAATCAGCTTCATGCATGTCTTCTAACAGCAAGCCTTATTTATGTCATTTGGGGGAAAAAATAAAAAGAACAGTAAGTGGAGAAATCCTGATCTGTGCTATACAAAGAGTGGTTGCTTGTTCTCATAAATGTGCGACCGTAATGATGTGTTACCTCCAGGAGTGGAATAAATTGGAAGTAGTAGGAAGAGAACAAAAAAGACTGCAAACTTTGAGTGTGTAGGTCAGAGGTGAAAGCCAGAAATACTAGATCCCATTGAGACAGTAGTTGAGTTAACAACAATCCAGATAATCTCAGCTGTTTTACTGGCTGTCCTATTTGTTATTTGGACCTTCATCTAGTTGCAAATGTAGCAGCTCAGAATTATAATCCATCTCATTGGATTATAATTATAATTACAAAAATTCTCGAGCGTGGAAAATTTTTTAAAGAGTAAGGAGAAAAAAACTCTTTTGAAAATTAGCTTTGGATTACACTTTCTAGAACCTTCCTCTTCAATGCCTACCACCAGCGGGGAGGGACACTTATCCCCAAAATATGAATCCATAGAGGAGTTGACCTGGCTAAGCTTTGTATTTCTATTTCACATACATATTTATCACTTACAGTAAAAAGAAGACAAATTATTGGTTTAAATCCAACTTGCCTTACTAAAATGTTAGGCAAATTGCTCTGTGGCATGTAAAGTAGATGGGTCAGTGGCTTTGAAAACTCCTCACCTTGGTTAGCCTTTTTCTTTGGTCTAACTTCTACACTCAACTGCCATCCAGGTTTCTACTTGACCTTGTTCACTTAGCTTTCCCCATACTAAAGAGAAAAGCAGATTTAACACATAACGAATGGATTTAATTTGTAATCTAGACCAGAAAAGATGAGGCAGTATGAGTATAAACGTAGCTCACAAAGCCAGATCTTCACATATGCTGGAGCTGCTTTCGCTGAGCTCGCAGTAACTGAAGGATGATGGCAGAATTGAGAGCAAATCAAGGGCATACAATGTCTAATTGTACTTTCTTATGCATGTTTCTTGAACTGGTTAGAATTTCTTATCTGGGCTTCATTTGAAATATCCAAACAATTTTTTATAATCAAAAAATGATATTATGAGTGAATATCTGCTAACATTTTAAAGGGAAATAGCAAAAAATCTTTAAAAATCGAACTGAAATTGAAACTTAGCTACTCTCAGTGAAGTATATAGAAAACTCTAAGGGAGGGATCTTGATGGTACCACTATATTTCTTCTATTAGTCTGTGAAGAACAGTTTCTCAGTAGGAAATATCCAGTTTTCTCATGACAATATTTTCACCACTAACAACCCTGAGCTTCCACATACCTAAGCTTACAAGAGGAGCTTCGCTGTGGGAGAGGCAGGGCTCCCTCCCTGACTCTTGTCTGACCTTCAGAGACGGCAGCCGGATCTTTGGGCCAGTAGTGCTTGGAGTGGGGACTTAGGGCTGCTGTTTGCCCAGAAATTGTTCTCCAGAAGTTCTCCACCCTGACAATCCTTTCCTCAAGTTATTTGTCCTGATAGAACAGAAGGAAACTTGTTAAAAAGCTTTAGCTACTTAAGTCAGTTGTAACTTGTTACTCTAGTCATTCTTCGTTGTTTACACCTAATACTTTGTCTCCCCACACTGGGTCCTTTTTTTTTTTTTTTAACAGCTTTATTGAGATGTAATTCACATACTATATAATTGACTCAATTTACCCATTTAAAGTATACATTCAGTGATTTTTTTAGTATAGTCCCAGAATTTAGTATATTCACAGAAAGATGTGCAACCATTAGCACAGTCCAATTTTAGAACATTTTCATCACCCCAAAGAAGAAACACAATATCCATTAGCAGTCACTCCCTGTATCCCCCACCCTCCCTCCCAGCCCTAAACAACCACTAGTGTACCGTCTCTATAGGTTTGCCTATTCTGGGCATTGTATATGAAAAGAACCATATAAACAATATTTTGAGACAGGCTGCTTTCATTTAGCATGTTTTCAAGGGTCATCCATGCTATAGTATGTATCAGTACTTCATTTCTTTTTATGAACATAATATTCCAGTGTATGGGTATACATACCACATTTTATTTATTCATCAATTGATACACATTTGAGTTGTTTCCATTTTTTGACTAATATGAATAATGCTCTGTGAACATTTGTGTACAAGGTTTTGTGTTGGATTGTTTTCATTTCTGTTGGTTTTATAGCTACAAGCCCACACTGGTTCTTACTCGTGAGACTTAGAGTGTCTCTGGGTTTGAAATGTAGTAGAATTTTTAACAGCTTTATTGAGATGTAATTCACATACTATATAATTGACTCAATTTACCCATTTAAAGTATACATTCAGTGATTTTTTTAGTATAGTCCCAGAATTTAGTATATTCACCTGGCCAAACATAATGACTCTCTTTTTTAATTTTGAAAGTTAAAAGAGTCTGCAAAAATGGAATTGGTCAGAAGCCAGCAGTGAAAATGGAAGGCGGAGAGGGAGGAGGGTGAGGAAGAAAGGCAAAAACAAACAAACAAACAAAAACTATTCTCTAGAAGGAAAGGTGAAAAAAAAAGAAAAGGCTTTCAGACTTGCAGACCTCTTAGACAAACCTGTTTGCCAACCTACTTTTTTTTCTTCTTACATTTCTCCACTTCATGCATATATCTGGATTTCATCTCATAATTAACAGCTATGAAGTTACTTAGAGGAAAATTATGCATGTGGGTACCAAGACCAATGTGAGAACAGGTTACACTGGCATCCATGATGTTTATGTGGCTATGTCAGTCACTTTAGACTCTTAAAAAAGGGCTGGACCTGGATGGGCAGAAATGAAGGTTTTTGTTCTCTGATTGTCATCATTTATGACAGCACATTATCTAATTATCTCCTACTAGCCACAGCCTCAGATTTCCTAGTGCAGAATAGGAAATATGAGGAAATCTATAATAGTTTAATACAAAGAAATTGCAACTTAGTTTTGTATATAAGAACAGTTGGTTGGCCATTTTAAAGCACCTAATAATATATTCACCATATACATCACTTGATATCTGCTATATTTAATACTTTCATTTTAATATCAACCACTAATTAAACCATTGACATTATTCTAGAGGGAATCTAAAAATTTTCTTAGGTTAAGTGCTACTGGAGATTACAATTACAGAAATACGAATGGCAGATTCCTTCATGGTTACCTTCTGTGGGCCTGAAAGCACAGCTAGTGTTGTATCTGCCCAGCAGATCTCACCACCACTCTCATCAACATCCACCATAGTACAAAACAGATTAGTTTCAAGTGTACCTTCTATAGCATAAACGCAAAACAAATTTTAATGTAGTATAGACTAAAAGTGAATGTATAGGGATGCAGGCTACCATTCTTCCCATTAGAAAAGAAGTCAATAATCATATTAAGACACCCAATTTGTGTCTACTGTAAAGTCCTTCAGTGAACCGGAACTTTCTTTTATACAAGTCTTTAGAGTAGAAGGAATCCTCCCTGTTGATATTACAATGGAGAATAATTATCCTTTGTTTTGTAAATTTCACCAGGTGATCTCCAACAGCATCTCCAAGCAATGTTCATATTACTCCGCCCAGAAGACAACATCAGGCTGGTAAGTTAGCGGTATCATTATAACTTTCTTCCTCAAAAGACTGTCTAAAGTAGTGAACATTAAGCAGTTCCAGGAACTCTGTAGAATAGAAAAGAATGACATGTCCCTATCATCAGAGAGCGTAGAATGTAATTGAGGATACAAGCTAATGTGAATTGACGTGAAATAATTTGATGGTTCAAGACTTGGCGCCAGTTTGTAAGTTATTGACTATACAGCAATTGAAGTTCAGAAAAGAGAAAACTTGGTGACTTGACCTTACTGAGGAAGGTTTTGTGTGGACAGTAGAATTTGAGCTGGGTCTTGAAAGATGATGAGATTTAGATTGGCAGAAAAACAAGAGACAGTCATTCTAGATGAGGACACGACTGAAGAAAAAGCCCGTATAGGAAAGGACAAGAAGAGAGTGACAAGACCAGGGCTTTGTGCTGGTCTCAGAGTTGGGAGACCTAGGCATCAGTTTTTACTACTCATCTGATGTTGGACAAGTTACTAAGCCTGTCTGTGCCTGTTTTCCCATCTCCTTTCTACCTCGCACAGTGTAGAGAATCAAATAGACATGAAAGCATATTGAAGAGTATAAAGTGCTGCCTAAATATGGGAATTATTGTTACTATAAGGAAGATAAGATACCAGAAAACAAGGCAGGCAAGTAGGGACTTAATACTCTAAACTAGAGGTTTCACACTGGCAGTCCATAGGCCAGAGGTATGTTTTGTTTGGACCACACGATGTTTTGGGTTTTTAAAAATCTCAGCCAGAATTTTAAATTCAATGACTTCACATAAAAATCCACAGTTGGGGCTTTTCTTCAAAAATCAAAAATGCTGGCAACACTGAGACCTTATTCTCATGCCAGACTCTGCTAGCCATGGAGAAGAGGGCATTGGTGGCTTGGGTTCGTAGTTTACCATAATCCCCATACCCTATTTTCTCCTGGACACTAAAGCCAAATGTCACTGTTTGTCATCATTCCTTCAGTTTTCTTATAGTAGAATATCTAATAGAAATAGGAAAAGAAAAATGGGATGAGCATGTTTCTTTGTGGAAAGTGAAAAGTATTTCTACTCATTTATAATTCACATGGCCTACTTTACTCATTTATATTCCTTACCTGACCCTTTAGATTAATATCTGGAGGTGGTACCTCTACCTCTTCAGTAAGAAGTAGTGAAGCATAACAGGTTTCTGAGCCAAGGAATGACTTGGGACAGCAATAGTATTTAAGAAAGCTTCCTTAGAAGCTAATATAGAACAGAGGGGAGGAGGTGGCCATCTTAATCAGGGAAGCCCATCGGATGGTTATTGCAGTAATCCAGATGTGTGGTGATGAGCCCTTCTAGATTGGAGGTAAGTTGAAAATTGGATATCCGTAGACATGCTACATTCAAATAGTTAATCTCCGCTTTCTGTATGAGAAGAGAAATAAAGAATAGAATACAAGAATGACTATGGAAAGTTGATCAGGCCTCTGAATTCTAATAATTACTGATTCTTCATTCACTTATTCTGTGTAAATTCTCTTTTTTTTTTTTTACTCTCTCTCTCTCAAATGCTGCCTCTATCGCCTCCTTGACATGGCCACTAATTTTTGTTGAGAAACTTCTTTGAGATTTAAAAGAATTGAAATAAATCCTTCCATAATTATTTTATATCCTAATCCTTAAGTAACATTATACACTTATGTAAATTTTAGGTAAATCTGGGAGGGTGTGTGTCTATATTTCTTAATATACTTCTATCTTAAACACTTATTTATAAGTGAACAAAGTGGGCGCAGTTCTCACAGCATTAATATTCCAAAATAGTGATACTCAAACTTTAGATTACATCAGAATCACCTGCAGAGCTTTGTTAAACTGCTACTTGCTGGACTCTACCTGAAGAGTTTGGTTTGGAGAGGGGGAGGCAGTGAAATTTGCATTTTTAACAAGTTTCCAAGTGATGCTGATGCTGCTGGTTCAGGAGTCACACTTCAAGAACAATTCTTCTAAATCTGTAATAACAGTTACTTGTACATATTGGATGTCCAATACATATTTGTTGATAGTTTCCAAAAATTTTGTAGTTTGGTAGAACTAAAGCTGACATTTATTACTCACTTTATCTTTTTCTCATCGATAACCTCTGGAGTTAGGATTGTACTTCTAAATGTTAAAATAATTTTAACCACAAGAGCCATGGGAGAGCATTAAGAAAGCAGTTAGGAAGGCAGAATTGGCAATTCAATTTTTTCTTTCTCTGCTAAAAGCAATTTCAACTGCTTTACATTTATAAAATATAAATTCAGAAAATGTAACTGATGCCTCTAAATTAATTCAGAGTTCAAATGACAGGCCATTTTACAGTTGTTTTGAATTGTTACAAACACATAGTCATTATGCTTCAGATTATTGAGTGAGTCATCTTTAAGAAAATGAGTGAATACATTGTGAGCTTTGGACAAATTAGCACTTTTCTAACTGAAAGGAGCATTTGTAGACTCAAAGCAAAGCCTTTTGTCTTGAGTTAAATTTGGAATGCTAAAACTCTCATACTGGGACTTGTGCATAAGGTTAAGAGTTTGATAGTCAACTGAAAGTCCTGCCTTTAATTTTTTGATAACCCAACAAATTCAGTCACCAAATCCCACATTCTGCTTTAGCATTGAAAACACGACTAAAACAGTATTTCCTCCAGAGAACTCTGTGTTCAAAATACAGTCTCAAACATTAACTATAGTACTTAGGAAACTTAGCTGGTGCAGGGAAGACAGTGGTTTTATAATACTCTTGCACACTCTCAAAGACCCATTTATTTAATTAAAAAATAGACTGGGAAATTAAGGACTTTCCTGACATTTGAAGTAACATCAACTAATGTTTTTAACCAGAGCTGAGGTGCTAGTAAGATACAAGGAGGAGTTTTTGAGTATGTTGCAGAAGAGTTTAAGAAAATGAGTTTTTCTTTTTTTAGTACATTGATTATTTTCCTAAAAAGAAATAGATTTTTTTTTCTAAATATAAATGTATTATTATTTTTTTAATCAGACAGTACAGCAAGAGATAAAGAACAAAGTAAAAATTACTTTGTATCCTATATGCTGAGAAAACCATTCTTAGCTCTTTGGATAAGTGTCCTTCTAGCCACGTGTGTGTGTGTGTGTGTGTGTGTGTGTGTGTGTGTAATCATACATGTCAAATTCTCTGAGATCTACTCTTACTGAAGTGGACAGTGACAAAAATAGTTAAATCTGAGCATCAGAATACCTTTCTAATCTAGCAAATGCATGATATCTGTAGTTCTGAGAAGCAAAAGTATAAAGTAATTTTAAACAGTAAGGGCTTATGTCTGAGAGGGAGGAAGGGGGTGTGTGCGTGTGTGTGTGTGTGTGTGTGTGTGTGTGTGTGTAAAACTGACAGTGGTAACTGAGGACTCAGCAATGGATAAATCAGGTTGTTGAGGAGGGGTATATGTGTATAAAAGTCTAAGTAATTTTGAGCAATATGAAAATGTCTTACTACTGACCTTTATAACTATGAAGGTTTCTGTATTTGATCTGAGCTCAGAATTCAAAGAAAGAAAATAAAAGTGTATGGTTTGGGGGTTTTTTTTTTTGTTTTTTTACAAAAATGAGATGAAAATGTGCTATTTATAACCTGCTTTCTTCACACTTTATCATGGATATTTTTCCATATCGGTAAATAAATCTATTTTAAATGGCTATACAGAATATGTCAGATTTTTTTAAATGTAAGAATTTCATGATGATAGATTAAAAAAATAAAATAAAACCCAGAGACTCCCTCAAGCTCTATTTCTTTTGAAGACAGTAGTCTTTATTAGTGTCATATCTGAAGTCTCTTTTAATTTTTAGATATTGACTTTGCTTTGTTCTTTTGGCTAGAATTTAATATTTACATACTTTTGAAACCTTTTTCTCTGATGGATTGGGTGAGCTGCCTGTCTAGACATTGAGACTTTATAATGTGGCTTCCTGAGGATAAACATTGCATGCGGGGACATGATGTTAGACTCTTGGCGGAAAAAAAATTAAAGGCAAAGGTGCACTGTAAGCTTAGAGGGGAGTATTTTCTGATATTAGATGATGCTGAAAAGAAAAGTTATGTCAGATAGTGTTTGTGAACTGCTTGTAATCAAATTTAGCATCTAAATTAGTTACTGAGGAAAATTTTAACATCACTTTTTGGTAGATGAACTTGAAAGCAGGTTAGATTCTTACCTCTCAGAAATAAAGCAGAGTCAGGAAATGACTTCCTAGACCTACCTCAGTTCAAGGATTGCAGGATCCAGTTCACCTGAAACTTGTAGTAGGATTCTAAATTTAGATAGTAAATGGACTTTCTTGGAATAATTCTCTCAGTTGCCTTTGCTGCCAAGTTTTAAAATCCAAACTATTGTTTTGTTTGGACAATTAGAATAAACTTCAGTAGTATCCTTTTCAATGAGGACATTAGCTAATCAGATGCATCTGAATCATTGTCTTATTCAAGTCATCTATTCCATGTAAATTCTGGAGACTGCAGAAACATTGGAATTGCTGCCAATTCTAATAATAGTGTATTAGGTACAAACTACCACCTTAAATTACATTTGTCCGATCGGCTTGACGAATTAAATTATTAGATTTTGTTAATCTTCTCCCCAACAGAGGACTATGCAATGAACCTCAGACCAAGGTAGATATTAGGTTTTTCTTTATGATGTAGCTCTTAAAATTTTGTTGAATTCTTTAATCTAGAATCTTAAAGCTTAAAAGGAATTTTGAAGCCTCAGCTCCATCCCCTGACATTACTAGATTTTTTCTGTAAAAAAGTTCATTTCATTCTTCTAATTAGGATATAAGAGTCAAACTAATATCATGGCTCCTGACCTCCTGATTAAATAAAGCTCCACTTCCCTTTAGGAAGAATTTAATAATTACTTATAGGTACTATCTAGAAGTCCGTGATCAAATCCCAAAACCTCTAAATGCTGTTCTTCCATCTAAGAAGCTTAAAATTCAGTGACTCTGAGATATGCTAGTTACTCAAGCCTAAGTCAGTATGGGATGACTGGGACTTTTCCCATTAGTTTTAGGGTCTTCTCTTGTGATTAAATTAAGCAAGGGAAGGCCAAACATTTGAAATGCTCTTAATATGATTGATTGATTGATTGATTGATTGATAGATAGATGATGAAAGAAAGAAAGAAAGAAAGAAAGAAAGAAAGAAAGAAAGAAAGAAAGAAAGAAAGAAAGAAAGAAAGAAAAATACACCGACTACACTTTTTAAAAGGAGGCAGCTAGTGTTTATACTGAGTACCACAAAGAAACTCTTGCTGCTTACTTGCTAACTTAGCCTGATAACTTGCATTATAGTTAGTACTTATGGAGGTTATTTTTTTTCCTTTTATCAGCTTCAACTTAGCCAATCAGTTGATGTAGAAGCTGTGGATAAATTATCAGAAGCACAGTTCAGTCGTTCCCATGCCATTTGTATTTGAGCCTTGCCAGAAATTCTCAAAGCTTTGACCAAGGATAAAAGAGCCTTTAATATATTCAGGAAACTGAACAGTTAGCTCAAAGCTTGCTGAGGCAAGCCCAAGTTTAGATATATAATAATATCTGACATCTTGTTTATAAGAAACTCTAGTTTACTTGCACTGGGTTTCTGGTTAGTTTAATATTTTGTCAATCATTTCTAGAATCAAGAGAGTCAGTGCTACCTCCCAGTCCTCCTGTGCATTTACTCCTGTCCATCGTTCTATGTGTATAATGCTCACTTGGTCTCAGCCCACTAGGGCTAGACCTTCATTAACTTAAATATTAGTTCCTCTTAGCTTCTCACAAGTGAATTTATGTTAAAATGCTCTGTTACGTCATGGAACATAGAGCCAGCAGTACAGCTCTCTACCTTGCATACTTGGAATCAGAATGGTGGACATTACATTCTTCTCCCATCAGCTCTTACTAGAAACAGGCTTTAATGTAGCCACTTCTACTGTTAGTGCTTCCCTGGCTTTTCCTAGGAATATCAGAATGGAGTCAAAAAGATAGCCTGGGGAATCTCACCTCTGCCTTGCTAACTGGGTCATTTGAGCTGTGTAACTATGTCTTTTTCTCTTTGCCTGGCCACTTTTGGAATAGTGACTGATGTAAGGGGAAAGAGATTCCGAGAAGAGCAGCACTGGAAGAATTCCAAATAGAAATTTTTGTCAAATTTCTGACAAATGTCTTGAGCCAGTTGATGGGTTTGGAACTCTGTTTCTCTTCTGAAATAAAGAATGGGAGATGGCATATTTTATACAGAGGAAATTGCCTCCAGTGTACATTTTCCTGGCTTTTTATTAATAGATAATAAGAAGAGTGAACTAGACTGTGCGCTCTTTCTCTTCCTCCCTTGAATCCTCAGCAATTGTACTCTGATTGTATGTATATACAGTAGATATATAGTAAATATTTGAATGAATGTTTACTTTATTTTTAAGGTATATAAAGTATCTTTTTGAGTTTCTTAAGAAAATTTCCAAACACATGAAGTAGAAAATATATCCTCATGAACCCATTACTCAGCTTTAATAACTATCAACATTTTACCAGATTTCTTTCATCTGTCCCCTTCTTTTTTCCTTTCTTTGTTGGAACGTTTTTAACCATTTTATTGAGGTATAATCGACATGCAAAATGTTGTACATATTTAATACATACAACTTTATGAGTTTGGAGATAATAATATACACCCATGAAACCATCACCATAATCTATGCCATAAACATATCCATTACCTCCAAAAGTTCCCTCCAACCCTCTCTACTGATGATGATGATGATGATGATGATGATGATAATGATGAAGATGAAGATGATTAGAACACTTAATATCAGATCTACCCTCTAAGCAGATTTTTTTTTAAGTAGACTTTATTTTTTCGGAGCAGTTTTTAATAACATTTCATAAAAATGTTGATGAGATTAAACTGTAGGAGCATACCTCTTCTTTATATCAGTTAGCCTGTAGTAAAACTGTTTTTGTTATACATCATTTTGCTGAAATTCACAGAATCTATCTCTATCAACAATGTTGAGAACTTACAGAGATTTCTCATATACCCTCTATTCCCACTCATGCATAGCCTCACCCATTATCTCCATCTCCCACCAGAGTTGTACATTTCTTGCAATTGATAAACCTACACTGACACATCATTATTAACTCAAAGTTTATAGTTTATATTAGAGTTCATGCTTGGTGTTGTACATTCTATGGGTTTTAATAATGACATGCATCCGCCACTTTAGTATTATACAGAGTCATTTCACTGCCCCCAAAATCCTCTGTGCTCCCCTAACCCCTGACAACTAATGATCATTTTATTGACTATACTTTTACCTTCTCCAGAATGTCATATAGTTTGAATCATATGGTATCTAGCACACATATTGGCCTCTTTCACGTAGCAATATGTATTTAAGTTTCCTCAGTGTCTTTTCCTGACTTAAGAAAGAGGCATAACCACAATGTCATTATCACATTAACAGTAAATTCTTAATATCATCTAAGACCCTGTCCATATTCAAATTTTCCAAAAGCCCTTTTAAAGTATCATAAATTAACAATAAAAAACTTTTTGACAAAAAATGATATAAGCTTCTGAAAAAGTAATTTCTTTGTTACTGAAACTAAAGAAAAGCTTTAGTTTTTAAAAGTAGTGTATAATCTGTAAGACTTCAATAGAGCATCTCCTTAGATATTAATAGTTTACTTCACATTATAATTGTTTATGGAACATTGATCTGTGTGTCCAATGTTTACATTTATGTAACCTCACATTCCCCGATTCAAGCTTTAGAACATGCCCTGGTAATTGTTGTAAACTGCTTATCGCAAACATTTTTTGAGCATTTACTCTATGTCAAGCAGGTAAGCTTTGCATGCATTATTTCATATGATCCTTACAACTCAATGAGATAGGTATTATATCTCCTGTCAATTAATTTAGTAACTTACTGAAGGTTTTATAGTTAATGCATGAGTCAGGATTTGAATTTAAGTCTCCTAACTATGGGTTCTGCTATCTCCCTGAGTATGCTTTAAGATGCTGATATAAAAAAAGATTAAGATTGAATGATCTAAAATTGAGCTTCTAAATTTCTTAATTTCTCTATTGTCTTTTAACCTTCAGGCTGTAAGGCTAGAAAGTACTTACCAGAATCGAACACGCTATATGGTAGTGGTTTCAACTAATGGTAGACAAGACACTGAAGAAAGCATCGTTCTCGGAATGGATTTCTCCTCTAATGACAGGTATGAGAGGATGAGAAGACTCCTTTTTAAATAACCTATTCCAGTTGCCTTTTGAGTTATTACAAAAACATCTTAGGCAGGTCTACTCTTAAAGTTTAGTGCCTTAAACCAGAGAACACAAAAATATCCTCACAATCTTGAGAAACAAAAATGTCTAATGAATGTCTTTGGTAGTGTGTTTCTAATTGACACTATTCTTTACCTTCTTCTCATCTTTAGGTGGTAATGTTGTAAAGCAAATGGTTTAAATGTATATCCCCAGGAGAAAAAAAAAAGCTGCGTTTTCTTTGTAGTTAACTTCATTTTAAGCAGTAAAGATTCACTTTGGTGATTCTAGGGCACACACCTTTTGTGATATTGTGCCAATGGCTCCTGGGTTCAAAGAGAGCCCACTTTAACTCCAATCTCTTGTATTTATCCATGGCCTTACACCTTGCCTTTATGAAATGTTTTGCTTTATTTTTCATTCTGCGTTAAAAAAAAAAAATGGGAGTGGGGGTGATTCTTTAAACTCTAAAACAGAACCTTTTATAATCATGCACCTTTGGCTTTAGTGGCACGTTACATCATATGATTAAAGGTATCAGACATCACACAGAACCTGGCTTTACTGTGTCCCTAAGGTTTGTTGCTTTCCCTTTTTATATTCCCACTTTTTCTGGAGAATCCTTGGGAAGACTGTGGAATGTGGCTGCTAGGCAGATCTCTACATTCTAGATAATGAGCCTCAGGAAATCCTGCCAGATGTCTCAAAGCATTGACTTCCTGGCTCAGGACTAGAATGGAACTGTGGTGTAGCTAGGGGTGTGACCCAGGCCTGGGAGATCTTAGCCACAAAGAGAAGAGGAGACTGAGAGTGATTCTAATTGTCCTGATGGTTGGGAGGAGGGGGACGGATCACATTGTCACTAGAAGTTTTCCAAACTAGTGTTTACCAGAGCTTGTACATAACAATCGACCTGAAAATAATTTGTGGGTTCATAAGGATCACAAGGCCAGAGTCGTTACTTTGTTTACCAGTTACAGCCCTTAATTGTATGCTCTGAAATGTGGCTTCCTAAATTGTAAGCCACATTTAGGAAGCTTTTCCTCCTGCATGGTTTTAACCTCTGGTGCTAGCTCAGCAACAGACCTTTCAGTAAACATTTATCCTGAAAGAGCACCTACCTTGTCTACATCCATTAGTATTTTAAGGCTATGAGTAGATTTTTATTCCTTTAGATCTGTACTGTACAGTATGGTAGCCACTAACCACATGTGATTATTTAAATAAATTAAAATTAAATAAAACTAAAATTTCGGTTCCCCAGTCACGACTAGCCACATTTCAAGTACTCCAGCTATATGTGGCTACCATATTGAACAGGACACATATAGAACATTTCCATCGTTGAAGAAAGTTCAGTTGGACAATGCTGCTCTAGATCTTATTTCCTTTGTTTCATTCGTCCTGACTCCTCCCGAGGAACTCTCATAAAACAGGAACTGGGGCTACATGAAAACTTCACTTGAGTCTTCCGCTAGAGAGAAGGCAACAATTTCAGATTCTCCTGACCCAGAGTGTGAGAAATCAGATGTCCAATCTTATCTCTTTTACTTTATCCTGAATATTCTCAGAAATCATAAGACTGCTTATTAATATGGGTGCCCAGTATTTTATCCTCAGTGAACTGCACCTATCTTCAGCAATTGTGCCTGAATCATATCTACCAAAGGAAAATTTTAGTTTATGGAAGACAAATTGATATGAAAAGCTATAAAAACTAGTTTTCATTCTGTTTGGCAAACTTGATGCTATGAATTTCCATAGATCCTCTGTTTGAATGAGCTCTTGGATAGTAAGAGAAATGCTGCCTACTTCAGAATAATGGTGCTCAAGTAATCTATTATCATTTTTATCTTAATTTCTGTTGAAGGAATTTGTATCATTTTGTATCTTAGAATATAAAAAGTTAATGTTTCAAAACAGTATTAAACCAAAATAGAAACCAGATTGCTTATGACATACTTTTCCCAAGTTGTTCTCAAAATATGTTATAGCAATTCATTTAGCCTATTTACAAGTTCTTTGAGTATTGTGTCATATTTTAAATACTAATTTTTTTAGTACACAGCGTAACCTTGGTTTCCAAATTGCATTGAATATATTTCAAGTTATAAAATAATAGAAGTTTACAGCGTTGTTTTATAAAATTTTTCTTTGTACCCCCAACACCTTGATATGTCTAGTACTTGTAGACAGTAAATATTTGTTGAATGGATGAGTATCTATTAAAATAAGTAACTATAATGAAGAAAAAAATCTCATGAGATTCAGGGTAAACTGGATAAAAACACAAGGTGCCTAATTCAGGCCTCTCTTTTATATTCTGTGAAAAAGCTATTTCTTACTGTAAAAAAAACACTCTAACCTGAAAAAAAGCTGAAAATGTGATGCTTGGTTCCTACACATCATTGTCATCTGTCCAAAATTTAACTGGTGTCTGGTTACAAGCTCATAACCTTCTGTATCTTATGTAGTTGCTTAATTTCTAGATTTGTCACTAGGTTATCAATCCTTCATCTTTATACCCAAATTATAGTTGTCGCTAGGAATCTGGCTAAGCACTTAATAACAACAACAACAAAAACTAAACTAAAAATAGCTGCACTCCACCTTAGGAAGCCATTTTCGAAACAGGTTTTCCTCGCACGCACTCACCTCATCTACTGAACAAAAATAGCTGTGGTGCTATCTTTCTCCCTCCCAGACTCTGGCATGATAGTTGTGCGTCTAGAGTTCAGGCCCAGGGTTCTAGTGTGGATAAGCTGTTGCAATCTTAATTTGAATCCCCTGAACTCTGGAATCGCTAGTGGAGTGTTAAGTAACACCAGCAAGTACAGTGCAGACACGGCCCAGCTAGGGAATGCTCTTCATTAGCCCTGTAGTGACTCCAACAGTTAAAGCTTGGTATTCCTCATGTTGTTTTTAATACATTTTCATAACGTTCCCCTCCCCCAAAATGCACTTTTAGAGCACCCATTACAGATTCATAATCAACATTTGTTTTGTATCAGTATATTGATATATATTGTTTCACTTTAAATATTAAAATTTTTAATGATAATCTTAGGAGAGTAGGTTTTGTTACCACCATTTTAAGGTGAAGAAATTAAAGCTGAGAGAGGTTAAATAACTTGTCAAAAGGAATTGAAGTACTGAAGGAGATCAGATTCAGATCTTTTGACATAACTGCTCAATAAGTGGTAGTTAAACATTTTTTGGTGTATTATCTAATTTAATCTTCAAAACAGCTCAATAAAGAAATTTCTATCCCAGTTTTATAGATGAGGAAACTGGAGCACAAAGCAATTAAATTATTTGCCTAAGATTATACAGTTAGTGCCAGAACCCAGGTTCCAAAGGCCTTCTGACTCCAGAGCCTGTACTCTTAACCCTTCGCTGTTCCATCTCCCACATCCAAGGTTCCTTCTACTATACTAGTTTTCTTGCTGGGCTAGTGTGTGATTTAAGTAGTATTTTAATGTAATACTAGGGCTACCCTTTTTTGGGTGTTAACGTTCCCCCTATTCACTGCCTTTCAGCAGTTCTAGTTCAGTGCACAGTCACCAAGCACTGTTGTATTTAAGTTGTGTCTGTTTTGTCTCTCTAACTCGATCACAAGGCATTAACAATTACTTTTTTGTATATTTTAATTCCCTTTCCCTTTTAGACTATTGAGTGTATTCTGGGGTTCAATAAATCTGTGTAAACCTCAGAAGTAGAATTGAGCAAATCACATAGAGGTCCTCAGCAACCAGCAGTAGTTCTTGGTATTAGAAATAATTCTTGGAATTGAGTTGGATGCTGTGACTTTGGGCTGAAACCTGCCAATCATAAGTCAGCCGCAGTCACCTGGATTTTTTAGTGCCCATTTGCAAGACAGCAATACAAGGAGCTCAGTCAATGTTTTTTTGTTGTTGTTGAATATTTAAGGACCTAACCTGTTTAATACAGCTCTTGAACACATACATTGGATTAATAGTTATATAGAAATTTCTTCACTCTAACACTTATGCTAGAATTTAGAGCTTAGAGGCTTATCTTTTGTGTTGAAAGAGTTACTAAAACAAAGAACTGCTGCCTACAATAACAGGAAGTAACTGGACTATTTCTTGTCTTGCAGTAGCACTTGTACCATGGGCTTAGTCCTGCCTCTCTGGAGTGACACCCTAATTCATTTGGATGGTGATGGGTAAGAGCTTTTTCTTTTTATTCTCTTACAGAAAGCCAAGGGGTGGGGTTCCATCTTAGTGCCCATTCATTCAGCTGAATGGGAGGCCCAATGTGCCCAACTGAACTGTCGTGTCAGCAGCTCAATGAGTCCTTTTAAACTCCTGTTTTGTAAAGTGGAGTGAAAATGCAACTTGCCAGGGCCTCTCACTTCTGTTCTTCTAGGCTGACTATGGTAAGATCCAAACAAAGAAGAACTAGTTTGTTGGCTCACTCTTTAATCTGAGCATGTGGGACTGTTGCAATGCTCTCCCAGAGGATGATATGTTCTGTTTCAAATAACCTCTTGCTGCCTCTGCCAGCTGTCAGCCTACAATATAACCCCTTTTCTGTGCCAATTCCTTCTAGTGACCCTCCACCCCCACCTCCTGGTGTTTTTAGAATGTGTCCCCAAGAGACCAAGATGTTTGCTCCAGTTTATAAAACCAGAGTCAGGTTTGCTAAGAACCCACGAAACTTCCAAATAGAATTATATAGCAGAACAGTTTGTCCGTAGCTACAGCTGGGAAACTGTATGTAATTCCCTAATAACTCTAATGTAGGAGTCCATTCATTCTGCTCAAGTCCTATACTCTAGTTCTTCATGACGTGTCTGATGATTCCTTCTACTGAGCCAGAGGTCGCTAGCCTGAGAAACAACCTTGAAAACTCATAACTGAAATAACCCACTCTCATTTGTGGATTTTTGTCTCATTCTCTTTTTTTTTTCAGTGGGTTCAGTGTATCAACAGATAACAGAGTCCACATATTCAAACCTGTATCTGTGCAGGCAATGTGGTAAGAGGACGTTTAATATCTCTATAAAACTTTTTAAATATGTTATTGGAGCATTATTTTGTGAGAAGTAGTATTTGAAATGGTACAATTCTCTATGAAATGATCTGTTTATATAGAATTTTTTGTGATCTGTTTGTGTGGTGATCATAGTTAAAGATGACTTAGAAGTTCAGTTTTCAAATTATCACAATGGAAGGTCTTGAGCATTGGTGAACAAGTAAAATTCAGAGGCATTCTTAGACTTTGGAAGATACTTAATGGATAAGATAGCCAGTTGGAACTGAGTTTTAAAAGGACACATTGACTAAGTTAGTAGCAGTCTAGAGCCAAGTCTAGAACATCATACCACCACTACTATGCCTTAAGCTTTCATTCTCTTAAGGTAATCAGGGATAGCACTGACAGAGTTACCTTATAGATAGATTTTCCATTTACATTGCTGGCAGCTGTCTGCCAGACTGTTTGCATAATGCAAATCCTAGAAAAAACATCATAGTTATTAATAACCATCAGCTGGTGTACTAACACTTTTGGGTTACTTACTATAAGTGTCAGGCACTGTGCCTAGTGCTTTACATGGATTACATCTAATCATTACACCAACTCCCCAAAATAGTATTATTAGCTCCTTATTATGGATGAGAAAACATTTTTTAGAGAGGTTACATAACTGGTCTTAGAGTATCTCTTATGTTTAAACAGAATAGACTCTTATTCTCCTGTTCTAGATTATCTAGAAAAATTATCTAATAACTAGGGAATGATGTTACTCTAAGATTCAGAGTCTGTCCCCTAGTCAGAGATTTGAATTTTAGTTCCACATTCGGTTGCCTATTTTGTAGTAGAAGTCCCCATGAGAAACAGAATGGACAAAACACAAGCCAAATAAGAAAGAAATAAAGGAACCTGAAAAAGACTCCAGGGATATCATTTACTCCTGAATAACAGAATTGATAGGCTTAAGGTTCATGGGGTCCTGAAACAGAATCAACTCGACAATTAACAGTCTTATCATTTTGTGCAGTAATAGGACTGAGTTTCAAGTGATGTATTTAGACCAGATTTTTAGATTTAGGGCATATTTCACAGATAAATTTCTCATGTAAAACTTATGACTGCCTTTGACTAAGGCTCAGTTAAAGGCAACTGACTTATCTATTCCCAGGTACCAAGTAAAACCAAACAGCATAATTCCCATCAGTGACAGTGTATTCAGTTATATTTTGGGGAGGAATACAAAGCAGTCTTAATTCTTAAGACAGTGAAGATTCAGTAATAACCTTAATTCAAGCTTTGATGTTCTAAAGTAGACTTGACTAGTCCTAGCTCTGTTAGGTTATTGCCGAATAAACTATTTTTGTTGTACCACATGGAGAGTAGTAAACTGAAAGTCACAGGAAAAAAAAAAAGATAATGTATGGATCAAAGCAGCATTTAGACCAGGTGTTTCCTTCACAGGAAGGTAGTTAACTGCAGCCTCTCACTACTGTATGCAGCTGAAATCTGAGGTGGCTAAGCCTTGAGTGTATTTTAGGGCACTCGCACCAGGTGCTTGTGGCATATGCTTTTGAAGCACGTGTTTCCTGGTTGACGTAAACATGCATTGAATATCCTATACATTGCACTAAGCTTGCCCTTACCTTTGAATCTGTGTAATAAAACTGAAATTCACTGAGAATTTGACTTATTCTCTGAGAGTCTAGCCTACTTTGAATAATTGAAAGCATTCTAAAAGATTCTGCAACTTTGTTTTTAAGGAAAAGTCTGTTTCCCTGATAAAAATGGACTGGCATGTTTTTCCCTTATCAAATTGGGAATGGTGTTTTTTAATTTACATTATGTGGGATCGACAAAGACTTATGAACAGATGTTATATATTATTGGTGGGAGAATGAACTCGAACAACCTTTCTGGAGAATGATTTGCCAGTATGCCTTATCATTTTGCATGCCCTTTGACCTGAAAATTCTATTTCTAAGGATTTACCCTAAGGTAATAATTATGGGTGTGTGCAAAAATTTTATTTATATGAATTTTTATGGGTGTTCTGATAATAGCAAAAAATAGAAAATAATTTAAATGTCTGAAAAATAGGAATCAGTCAAATTATGATATATCCATGTTACTAAATATGAAACCATTAAAATTGTCTAGTTGAATATTTATTGACATGGAAAGATGTTGGTGACAAAGGAAAAGGACAGGTTAAAATGGTATGCAAAATATGGTCATCTTTATTACAGATCTGTGCATAGACAAAAAGACTAGGAAGATCTATACTAAAGTCTTAACAGTGGTTATTTCTGGGTGTTTGGATTACAGTATATTTATGCCTTTTATAGGATAGTTTTGCCTTTTACCTGAGGTCCCTAAATTTTCTAAAGTGAACAGGGATTACTTTTTGTTACAAGAGAAAAAATAATAGCAAATAAGACATTTTATTCAACAAATACTGTGCTCCAGCTATGAGTTAGGAATTCTTTTAAACACTTGAGATACATCAGTAAACAAAACAGAAAGATCCCTACTCTTGTCGAACTAAATTTCTAGCATTTCTGGCTTTAGCTTTTCCCAAGTATATAACCGAAAAGGTACTTTTCAGTTTTGTTTACTGTTCTTGGGTTCAGGAGTTCAGAGTCAGAGATTTAATTAGCCTCAGTATAACCAGAACTGTTCTTAGAAAGTAGCACAAGTGTTTAAAGTAGCATAGTGGTTTAAAGAAACTGAGAGACTAAGGCAGCAAGAATGATAAATGACATTAGATCAGTACTTCTTGGACATGTTCTCAAGGCTTAGGGACATTCATCTGTGTGATCTTTGTGGAGCGTTTAAGAATCATAGGTAATGTACGATTCTGCACCAGGAGAAACAAATCTTACATATAGTAAATGGCTGAAATCTTTAGTTTTCTAGTGATATGGCATATTCACAGCATGGTTCCAAATATAGGATCATGAGTTCTGTAGGTACCCAACCTATTTTTTACAGGTGGGTTCCCCTGCTTCTCTCTATTCCCACCGTAATAATGCATCCTATCTTTCAGCAAGAAATGTGTAGTTGATTGCTGTGAGTAGATAATATAGTATAATCAGAATCAGAAAATCTTGAATTCAGGGAGTAGATTCCAAAGACTAAATTCTATAGGATTTAAAGATTAGAAGGCATACGTGGATTGTTGGCCTTTTGCTACCTGCATAGTCCTACAGTGCTTATTCCCAGCATATCTTTCAGGTCTGCACTACAGAGTTTACACAAGGCTTGCGAAGTGGCCAGAATGCATAACTACTACCCAGGCAGCCTTTTTCTCACCTGGGTAAGTTATTATGAGAGTCACATCAACTCAGATCAATCATCAGTCAATGAATGGAATGCTATGCAGGATGTGCAGTCCCACCGGCCCGACTCTCCAGCTCTCTTCACTGACATGTAAGTCAATTTGCTGAGGATCCTGGAAGTCCTCTCTATTGTATCCTAGGATGTTGTAAGCAACATGTTCCTCCCTAATCTCTCCTTTTGGGGAGCTAATCTTACCCAGCAATATTAGTCATTGTCTACACTACAGGACTGGCACAAAAAGCACCCTATTCTTTCTGTTGTCTGCAAAGGCCTGAGAAGTTTTACTCGTGGGCATAATGGAGTCTCCAGAGTTAAGAACTGCAATACCATAAAATCTCATTAATTCAGATGCCACTAATTTGAAATTTGAGTTTAAAAGAGTTGGGCTAAAGTCTGCCTTTGCATTATCTGGAAAAGAAACATTTGGTAAGCAAATTAATGACATAATGAAGCTTTTAGAGGAATGTTTCCAATACTTAAGAAACGAGATGTTTCCTGTCAATTTAAAAGAATGCCTAGGTTCTTATGCTAATTTTAAACTGATTTCTGTTCAGATTTTTAAAAACATATTGTATAATTCACATGTCTTAAGTCAGCCCCACCTTTGCCTTGTTAAGTCTTTCTCAGTAAGATTTTACTGAATCTCCGTGGTGTACTGAGTTGGATAAAGGCCTGAGGTGGAGCTGATGTTTATTCTCCTTTTAGGTCTATGTGTTGAAACTTATATGGCTATTTTAGAAATTTTTTTGTGCTTAGTTCCTGCTTTGAAAATTAATCAGGATGTTTACTTTGCTCTGAATTGATCTTTCTGCACTTCATTCGACAGCTGGGAAAGAAGAATAGCTGCTTACTATCTGACCTTACAAATTCTTGCAGATTCCTAAAGTGATCCCAAAACAGTTTATGATTTTTTTAAAGGCTTAATTTAGATAATATTGTAATCAATGATTTTTACTAGAACAGGTGAAATTTTCAAGAATTGTGTGAACAGAACAATCAGAAAAGCAATGGAAGCTATTTTGCATAGGGTGTCATTAGTACTAGGACCTCTTCTTCACTAATCCTAGTCCTTTCAAGATCCCACAATAACAAAAAGATAAAGATTAGTTTGGCCTTTCAGCCGGAACCACTATCTTCTAGTAAATCACCAAAATGACCAACACAAAAGGAAACAGGAGAGGCACCCGCCATATGTTCTCTAGACCTTTTAGAAAACATGGAGTTGTTCCTTTAGCCACATACATGCGAATCTACAAGAAAGGTGGTATTGTAGGCATCAAGGTAATGGGCACTGTTCGAAAAGGAATGCCCCACAAATGTTACCGTGGCAAAACTGGAAGAGTTTACAATGTTTTCCAGCATGCAGTTGGCATTGTTGTAAATAAACAAGTTAAAGGCAGGATTCTTGCCAAGAGAATTAATGTACATGTTGAGCATATTAAGCGCTCAAAGAGCCGAGATAGCTTCCTGAAACGTGTGAAGGAAAATGATCAAAAAAAGAAGGAAACCAAAGAGAAAGGTTCAAATGAAGCGCCAGCCTGTTCCACCCAGAGAAGACACTTTGTGAGAACCAATGGAAAGGAGCCTGAGCTGAAGATTAATTTGGCTTTCAGATTCAGGAAATGTTACTCATTTCCTGCTTTACAGCTGGTTGATGGATATCAAAAATGGACATTCTGAAACAGGCTTACATGAAAGAGAGAAAACCCTTCTTATTTTTTATGATTTTATTAAAGAAAAATTGGAAATTATAGAACACAACAACAACAACAACAAAGAAATTGCTCATAATCTCTCTATATCCCCAAGCAAAAGAAATAATATAAAATATAGTCCCTGGCACATGGTAGAGGCTCATTAAATGTTAGTTCTTAGTATGTACACTATAATCCCAATTTTAAGAAAATTTTTAGACAGTGTTTATCTGTTCATAGAAAAAAACTGAAAGCTGTCAGTCAGTCTCAATAATGATCGTCTCTGGTAGAGAGATTTTCAGTGATTTTTATTTTCTTGAATTTTTATGTATTTTCCAAATTTTTCTTCATTGAAATCTAGGGAGAAAATGTGTTTGTGTTGTAATGCTTTTTCCATTCTCTCTTCCTCCCTAACTGGACTAGAAAAGTCTTAAAAAGTATGCTGAAACCACAGGAAGAATGTGTGCCAAAATGGACCTATGTGCTCTACTATGAAAAAGTTTATGTTTTAAAACCCTAGGAAGGTGAAGAAGGGAACATATGTGTATGGTGCCTCCAATTTCTGTCAAATGCTATGCCAGGCACTTCATACATGGTATCTCATTTAATCCTCATAAGAACCTCAAGACAGATATTATTACTATCCTCATTTTATATAAAAGGAAAGAGACTCAGAAAAGGGAAGGAATTTGTTCAAGGTCACACTACTAGCAAGAAGCAGGGCTGGGATTAAAACCCAGATGTATCTGTTCTCAAACCACTCAGCCTCAAATGTGAAGGATTAGAGTAAAGGTTGCTAAACTAGGGAATCTTGACCTTCATACAGGTGCTAAAGTTTGTTTTTACCAGTACTTCTTTTTGTAAAAGACTAATGTGTATAACTTTCTACCATTAAGCTCTGTCTAGAAAAAATGGTGGAAAGCATGTTTAAGAATTTTAATCTTAGTCAAGACGGGGATGCCTTGCCTAAATGACAGGGAAATGGCACAAGTATAAGCTGTATTCTGCAGGGTTCATGGGAAACTAAGAGGCCAAGTGGTAGAGAGCCCCAAGGTTGTGGAGTCAGAGCATCCATCTTTGGAGATTACCAAAGCTATTTTTGCAGCCAGTGATAAGGCTGTAGGCAGCAAGGGCAGGCAGGATGCCTGAAAGCTTAGTCCATTTCTATCTCCAAATAAGGAGGTACAGAGCAGATACCATTTTTGAATAGGTAGGAGGGAAAGAAGAGACAGAAAGTACTCTCTGTCAGATTCACTCAAATTCTGCATAATATGAAATAATGCTTTTAGAGATAAGCATCCAGTTACATTGAACCAATACCTGTCTAGTAATTGGAGAATCAGCTTCCTAGTTTGATTTCATATTGAAGTTCCAAGGGTAATTTTATTTTTAAAAGAATCAAAAGACTAAGGGAAGTAACATAATCCTGCAGGTAGAGTGTTAGGTTGGGCTGAGAGTTCTGGTTCTCCTGCCAGTGTTTGTGATCATTGGCAGGTCATTTAACCTTTCAGCTATTTATTTCTTTTATCTGTAAAATGGGGATAAAAATTTCACAGAGCTATTATGAAAGCTTTTGTGGAAAGGAAAGCATTTTGGATGGAAGCACTCCAGGTTGTTAATCCTTGAAACCCATTTTGGAAGAGAATTTGCTTCATTGAAGAAGGCAGAAATCATTCTCTCTCCTTCCCGCTTTCTAGAACCATAGCAATAAATAATGAGCATTACATGGCATTTTAAGGTACAGAAGATCGAGTTCCATAGTGGGTCACACCACTGGTCTATGCATCTTGGTATTCTAGCTCAGCAGGTGGTGTTCAGGAGTACTTGATGGGAAAATATGGATTATGGTCCTCCATTAAAGTATTACACTCAGTATGGCCTGTTTGTTTACTCCTTCATGGATAACGTGAATATATATACGTGAATATATTTAAGGGCTTTTAGACATGTACAGCCTCTTCAAGTAATAATTTCTGTATGTTTACATTCTATACATTCTGAAAATAAACTTTTTAAAATATCATTTTCTTTTAGTCATGCCTTCAGTATATAAATTTGAGGGTAATAGAGGCAAAGCCTGCCAATTTGGAAACATAATCAGGTGGCACATTCATTAACTTAGTCAAATTCCTACCTAAGAAAAATCACCATTTCTCTCTTCTCAGACCAACTGAACGTGAGCGAACAGAAAGACTAATTAAAACCAAATTAAGGGAAATTATGATGCAGAAGGATTTGGAGAATATCACGTCAAAAGAGGTACGAGAACTTAAGTCTTCATTGTTCAAGGGCTAAGAGTGAGATGGGTGTGGGGCTAAAAATTGTGAGTGATTGAAAGTATAGGGGGACTTTACAGAGATTAGTGAAATATATCATCTTTGTTTCAGATACGAACTGAATTGGAAATGCAAATGGTATGCAACTTGCGAGAATTTAAGGAATTTATAGATAATGAAATGATAGTGATCCTTGGTCAGATGGATAGCCCTACACAGATATTTGAGCACGTGTTCTTGGTAAGTTTGGGCGCCACTTTAAGTAGTATGTCGACGCTAGTTCATATCAACTTGTTGCGGGGAGCAACTGTTAAATTTTATTATGTTTGAATAAAATGTAACTTACATTAAAAACAAAGGTAATAAATACTCAAACCTCATCACTTTCTAATTATTTCACTATTACCTGTGTTCTTAAGATTATTTACATCTGTTGTATGGTAGAAATGTTATACAATGGTATGCTTCTGCTTATCTCTTCCCAATTCCTTATTCAGTGACATCAAATTGGTGGATTAAAATTGACTATGATGGGAAAATTTACACCAAGGAAATTGGCATATGTTACAAATCAGGCCTTTTTCCCTAGGGATTATTAAAAATCTCATCTGTTCTTCATAATAGCAGAAATCTAAAACAGACCAGTCCATAATAGTTTTCTACAGTATATCCAAATAGGATGATCCTTTAAGGTCACTCTTTCAGATCTGCCAAATGTGTCCAAGATCTGATATATCTGAGAAAAGCAAGTGGGAACTAATTACAACTCAGAGGCTATTGGACTTTTAAACATTTGGAACCTTGTAGCCACATTTTGAGTCCCCGAAATACTTTTGCAATTACTAAAAATTCAGTGACAAAATTGTTCTTCATGATTTTCAAACATTCAGTTACCTACAATTAGCCCAAGGAGACCCTTCTGACAGATAGATTAGGAGAAATTCTAAAATCTTAAGACACATTTTCCTCTTATACATTAAAGAGTTCTAGTTTTCTTCTGTACATAGTAGTGAGAACAAAGTTAACAAGGATAATTAAAATGGGGAAGGAGGGTGTGCCAAAACCTTGTTTTTGTTTCCACTTCTAATACTTTGACCAAAAATGCTAGCAAAGAACTAACTGATTGGTTTGAATTTCACTTCCTTTCTCTGGTGAGGTCATTTGTGAACCGTGAAATGATTAGAAGCTGGGAAACAGAAGAGAAAGGAATAAATGCACAGGAACTGACTAAACTGGATTGTTTCACCTTGAATATTTAAGAGTTTATTCACTAAGTAGTCAGACTTTGTGACATTGAAGACTTCTACCCTGAATTAACTTGTTGACACTCTAGAGTGTGTGTGCTTGTGGAGTGATTCATAGTGGTGTATAGCTATGAAATTACTCATGAAAAACTGTGAGCTGGGAAGACAACTTCTTTTCCATTACTTTAACTTGCCCAGTGTGTGTTGCCATTTCTGGCTGTAGATCATACTGCAAAGCTGTCATTGACCTTTCCATTTGTAAAGCACCTGTCTTTGTTGGCTTTTATGTATATTTCCACAAGGATTCAGGTATTCCATGCTCTTTTATTTTGTTGGAAAGAATTTTTGTGTTATCTATAGAAAACTTGAGTCACTCATTCAAATGAACCCTGCCCCAAACTGTCTCCATGTATCATGACGTTCTTCTAAAGGGAAAGTGCCTATAGCCACAAATAGCTCATGTTAGAAAGTGACCAAAGCTGTAAACTTGGAAGTCACTTTTCTGTTGAGCTTGGATTTTAAAATCTAAAAAGGATATAGACATGATGAATATCAAATACAATCAATATCTGACTGGTCAGCCTGTTTAATTTCAGTCATACTTCCAGTGTCTCCAATGCCACCCCCTCAAGAACTACCTTCTACTTACCTCCCCTCCTTTAATGGTGTATTTTAGGACATATGAACAATTTTAATAGTACTCTAAGCAGAATAATCCAGTTCTCCCCAAATTACAGTCCCTAATCAACTACAAATGCATTTGAGTATTTGTACCAATAGATTCATCCTATTATTTCGTGATTTTTGGCACATTCTTGTGTCTTGGTTTTTTTTTTTTTTTCTTATTACAAAAATAATTCATGTATATTGTAGAAAACTTAGAAAATTTTAGAAGACAATAGATAACATTAAATCATCACCAAGAGAGATAAGCACTGTTATCTTTCATTATATAATACTGCCTTCGAGTCTTTTTAATTTTTAGAGTTTATCTATGTACATATTTGGGCGGGGGGGGAGGAAAATCTATTCCCCTTCAGATATAATTCTGTTTTCAAGAGAATGAATATGTTTTTTCCATTGTGAATATTTTTCTAATTTGGGAAAAAACATTCAAACTGGAAAATTCTGATATTTAACTCTTATTCAACAAAATAAGCACATAAACAGGTTGTCTAAATTTATTGTACTTCTTCCTTGATGGCTTCCTCCCTTTGTTTGCACCACCATATCCTGTGTCCAAACTCCTATCTCTTCTCCATTAAGTCTGTGCTCTGCTGGCTTTCCCAGCAATTGACACGGAAAAAGAGGTCTTATCCAAGCTGCTAGTGGTGGTGTTAATTTTCTGCAAAGTCATTTCATCTTGTGCATAGCTGCCATGCCTGGAGTGCAAGTAGATTGTGTGAAGGGAAGCAGCAGGATTTCTCCCTTCACTTTGGAAGAACGCACAGCTCTGCAGTGGACTGCACAGAGATGTTTATTTGGAAAGGTGTCCAGCTGGTATGTAGAAAAAAAGTATAGAGCATAGTTTAAAGAAAATCTGCAGCAAAAAGAGAGGATTCGTTGGTTGGAAGCCAGGGTGTTTCCAGAAAAAGAAGTTCTTCCACACCCTTAAGAGTGTACTATTTCTCTGAGCTGGAAGCCTTTGCCCAACCAAATCTCAATATCAACAGCTCTCCTGGAGGCTGTCCGATTTGGCTGAGAAAAAGCTCGATGTGAACAGAGACCCTTTGCAGAAAGGCAGACAGCTTTCTTAGTTAAACAGGGGAAATATGGGAATATTGTACACACAACCAATTATTTTGTTCATGGGAAAAAAACTAGTCAGAATTTTTACTGCCAATTGTTATCTTTTTCCAGATTTGACATTACAAATCCTTTTTAGAATAGTGTTTATTTTTCATAGAAAAATTAAGCCTCAGATTGGTGGTTACTTTTACAGTAAGTACAGAGAAAAGAAATCAGTCACTTGAGTCTTTGGGCCAGGGTACAGTATGGGGTACCACAGTGAAAGATGGAAATGAAGTTACTTAGAAATGTATCATAGTCCCAAGATTTCATTTTACATTTCAGGAAAATTAGAAAATGCTTTGCATAATTACATAGAACATAGTGAAAACCCTCATAGAATTATGTCATTGTAAGCCTGAGAAGCATGAAGGGAAAAAAAAAAAAAAGATTGAATCTGTGGAAAACCCCGGGGGGCTGATATGAATGGCATTTGTATTGAGGGCAGGAAAGTAATTACACCATGTTGACTCCAGTTCTTTCTCTCAGGTTGAACTTGAAACAACCCTAGCCACAGCCCAAATCACTTCATACGGGTTTCCCTGAGTCAGTAGCCAGTGCTTTTAATTTATTTTGTTTCTGGATATGTGTCATTTCAGATTGTCAAACTGAATTTTCTCTGGCCAGGTAGATGAAAACCATGGACTTTTCCCATCACGTCAGAGTTATTTTCATCCAGCTGGACAGAGTTCCTCAGAGGATTTAGGTTTCTAAATTAAGAAGTTAGATAGTCACATTTCCCTGGCTCCAGTTTAGCCACTCGACCCTTTATTGCTTGGCTTCTACCTCCTTGAAGTCCTTTGTAGTTCTTCCTCTTTCTCTGGTGTGGGAGCCAGTTTTCTAAGGTTGAGCACAAGCTTTCAGAACCTTCCATATTTTTTGAAAGCAAGTCAGCTGAGCCCTGGTCTGTAGAAAGGATCAGTTGTCCATCACTTACTGGAATTTCAGCACAGTATCCTTGAGATCTCCCAGTTCAATGGTCAAATTACAGATCACTTGTAATATGGTGATAGTGATTACATAATACCTAACAATTTCAAAGCACTTCATTTACTTACCTCATGTGATCATTCATTCAACAAACATCTGTTGATCTTTATTTTTCCAGGCATAAGGCTAGATATTTGTGGAGTGTGATCTAAAGGAGAGAGTGATGAACCATACATATCAGATAGATACTCATAGAAGGCCAATGGAATAAGGATACAAAGGTGACTCTTGGATTAGACAATTAGAAAAGATCATTTGTAACATTAGCAAGACTGATGAGGGCAGAAGCCACAGTGCTGTGGGTTGAGACACATGGGAAATGAGTAATGAGAGAAAGTGAATATCAGATTATATTTCTATGAATCTTGACTATGAAGGAAAGGGGAAGAGGACAGTGTCTAGAGGAAGATTCAGAGTGAAGAGATAGTTTTTCCATTTTAATATGGGAGAACTGGGTTTTGTGTTTGTTTCTTGGCTTTAAACAGCAGAAATTTATTTTTCATTGTTCTGGAGGTTGAAAGTCACGGTACCTGCATGATAGAGTGGGGGCCCTCTTCCGGGTTGCAGACTTCTCTTTGTAATCTCACGTGGCAGAAGAAATTGGGAAAAACTTCGCAATTTGAAGGGAAGATACCCATTAAATGTATAGGACTACAGTAGGAGGAGTGTTCCATTTTATAGATAAGGAAAGTTGAAGACATGTTAAGCATTTGGCCCAACGTCCCAAAGTAGGAAGGAGAGTTGAGACTGGAACCCAAGTCTTCTAATGCTAAACTCCATTTAATGCGTAATTCTGAAATAGGTAAATTCTTATTGTTAAATGTTTGCTTTTTCAAAAGACATAAACAGGTAGCTCAAAGATAAAGTGGACCTGAAACATTGAAAAAATTCTCACTTTTAAGAGAAATGCTAATTGAAATTACACAGAGATAACATTTTACAGTATCAAATTGGCAAAAATTCAAAAGTTTAAACATTTTGTTGGTAAGGCTGTAGGCGAAGTGGCACTCATATATTGCTGGTGGAATGCAGAATTGTTTCAAATTCTGTGGAGGGGAATTTAGCAATGTGTAACAAAACTATGCATTTACCATTGACCTAGATAACTTGCTTCCACGAATATGAAACATCATTCATAGCAGAGTAGTTGAATAAACTATATCACTCACTACCTAATGAAGTACTATGCAAATGTAAGAAAAAATAAGGCAGATCTCTCTGAACTGTGATATAGAGTGATTTGCATATGTTTAAGTGAAGAAAGTGAAGAGTAAAAATATATAGTAGTATCCTACTTTTGTGTAAGAATAGTAATAAATATATATTTGCTTATATTTCTTTCAAAATAGAACATAGAATAAACCAGAAATTAGTGAAAGTGGTTACTCATGGGAATTGAAGAGATATAGGGGTGGGAGTAAGACTTCAAGTTTACTTTCAAATAAGCTTTTGATTTCCAACCATGTAAAATTTTACATATTCAAAAAACTCAAAGAATGGAAAAAGTACACCGTAAAATTAAATACAAACAGGAACAAATGAACCCAAATGTGTGTCAAATTGATAACCTCAGAGAAAGAAATTAATTCAAATAACTTTTAAGCATAATACTCTGATTGTACCACATAGTGGGATATAATAAGGAAAAAAAGAACTGCAAAGAAAATTTGAACTTAACAGCTTTGTTATTGGTTACGGTATTGGTGCAATAATGTTGAAACTATTTGGTAAGTAGAGCAAATGAGAACCAAGGTTCTCACTGTAGAGCAGGGAGATATAAATGAAGCTGGGGCGAGCAAGAAAGAAAGGAAGAACCTTGTGGTATAGAATTTGAATCAGAGGTACCAGTATAAACTTAATATAGTTTTGGAAATATTTCCCGGATCTGTCCACTGAAGAGTTTTAGAAGCAGTGACACCCAGTAGTTATGAGCATACCTAATTAATTCCCAGATCTTAATTAGAAAATACCATTTAGATATTCCCTAAAAGAAGCCAGGACTCCTTGGGGAAATGGCAGATTTCACTCACAAAGTGACTCTAGAATGATATTTTTGTACTAGAAAGTAAGGACTTGGTAAAGACTGATGGGGTCATATCAAAAGGAACCTGCTTAAAGAGAGTCTCACTGGCAAAATTCAAGACAATTTGAGTTTCCAAAATATATATATATGACGGTAATGGATTGTAACATACGAAATACAAAAAAAATTCAAAAGTCTGTAGTGACACTCAAGGGATGGAAAGATTGATTAGATGAAGCTCTCTTGCACAGAAAAATGCCAGCTAAGGTGCATGGGAATGATAAAATTAGAAAATCACCATTGTGAAACCTCCAGTAAAGTAATTGATTTAAACTAGATCAGCAGTTTATGCTGAAACCATAGGGTAAAAGATTATTGTGAAACAAGATATTCACATGGCTTCAAAGATTGTTAATACCCAAAGATTACTAATTATTTGTAAAGGAGCCTTTACAATAGAAGGATGGGGCAGACACAAAGGTACCTACCAAGAATTCAAAGTCAGCATGATAAATAATGAGACAAACTGACATATGCCTCATGATTTGATGCAGTAGTAAGTACACAACATCACCCTTATAATATTCTCGCCAAGAGTGCTTGGCCTGACTCTAGTCATCAATAAGCATTCAGACAAATCTAGATTGTGGGGTGGTCTCCTAAGATTGCAGACCCGTAGTCTACAAAAATGTCAATATCATGAAAGTCAAAAAAAAATAGGTAAGAGTGGACTGTTCTAGGTTAAAAGAGAAACATGGCAGCTAAATGTGAAGTGTGATCCTTAATCAAGTAAAGTACATTTTGAGGATGATTTTGAAATTCAAACATGGATGATGTATTAGATTGTTATTGTATTGATGTTGTTTTTCTCAGTCGTAAAAATGGAATTACATAGGAGAATGTTTTTATTCTTAAATGGTACATGATCAACTATTGAAGTATCATGATGCTCAAATTACTTTCAGAATTGTCAGGGGAAAAGGATATATATTGAAAGAAAAGAGTGGAGAGAAAGTAAATGTGTCAAAATATTAAAAATTGATGTATCTTCCAGATAATCTGTAGAATCTCTCTTAAATTTTTCATATTGTGTTTTCCTCATTTGTTTGACAGAAGCTGCTGTTTCACTCACACACACACACACACACACTCACACACTCTACTTCTCCAACTTCTTACATGCAACATAATGAACTACAAAGAACTACATATTTCATTCTATGGGTTTTAGAATGAAATCTAGGTTTAATTCATAAAAATGTCACTTTGTTTATTCAATAAATGTTTATTGAATACCTGCTTGGTACCAGGAAGTGTGCAGGGATTCCTATAGGAACAAGAGAAGCTTATATTATAATGGAGGAGAGAGGTAGTAAATAAGCACATAAATAAATATACAAGTAAAAATTGTGATACATGTTATTAAAAAAAAATCAGAGCACCATAAATAAGAATAACAGACATTTAACTTAGTTTAGAGGATGGTCGAAGATATGTATTTCCAGAAATATGCTCTTGAGCAAAAGTTACTTGAATTCTATAAGTGTTGGTTTTCTTATCTGTAAAAATGAAGATAACTTTTTTTAACTATCCTTTGTGAAAACTAAATGTGATAGCATGTAAAGTACCTGGCACTTAGAGAGGAAACTCAGTAGATGATTGACCCTTTTTTTTTAGAAACTCTGCTTTTTCCCTCACAGGACTGCTGTTCAATTATTGTATTTGGTTCCTATGTTAATACTCCCTAACTTTGTCTTTTTGGTTCCACAGGGCTCAGAATGGAATGCCTCTAACTTAGAGGATCTACAGAACCGAGGGTAAGTATCACTGTTTTATCTTTACTACGTTTTCTAGTCAAAGAGGTGTCAATAAGTAACTTTAAGCTTAAGAGTTAATGCCCATTAATTCTAATCAGGTGTAATGTAATAAAAATTAAAACTGCTGTTCTCGCACTGTTTCATCTTCCCCCCTACCAAACTGAGCAGTTTAAGGATTCCCAGCAAAATTGAAGAAAAGGGACAGAGATTTGCCATCTACCCATTCCCCAACACGTACATAGCCTCCCCCATTAAGAACATCCCCACCAGAGTGGTTCATTTGTTACAACTGATGAACCTACATTGACACATCATAATCACCCAAAGTCCATAGCTTATGGTTCACTCTTGGTATTGTACATTCTATGATTTTGGACAAATGAATAATGTCCAAATTATGGTATCACATACTATTTTCATTGCTCTAAAAAATCCCCTATGCTCCATCCATTTATCCCTGCACCCCTAACCCCAACAATCACTGATCTTTTTACTCTCTCCATAGTTTTGCCTTTGGTTCCTGTTTTTATGTAAGGGTACACAGGACTGCATATGTTGGGCTCACAGCTGTTCATTTAACATTTATTGAGCATCTTCTGTGGGCCAAGCACGGTGCTAGGGATCCAAAGATAAATGAGACTCAGTCCCTGTCCTTTTATAGTAAGGTGTTTGAAGACTAAGCAGGTTATAAATGTAAAATTAACAAGCTTCTGAAATTGAACAAGAAGACTTACCTACCTTTCATTAAGAAATGTGCGTCTAAGAAACATAGTTATTGAGTTTTATTATAGCAGTTGAGACAACTGTGAACATTCAACAGGCAAAAAGCTGCCATTCTTTCCTTTTTACTCCTTAGCTAATGCGTAAGTTTTTCATTGAACTTGGCTTTAGGAGGTCAGATCATCCCAAAAAGACAAGAGAAAATCATGTCTGGAAATTAGCCATGCCAACTTTTCATTGTGGACATAGATAAGACCTCCTGAGACTCAGAGATAATGATGGCTGCCTGGCTGGCTGCTGGCTGCCTGTTTTCTCAGCTACAAGTCAGCCTTCTGGTTATCTTTAACATGATTAGGTACATTCTCCCTACTTTTCCCCCAGAAGAAAGGTACCTCATAATTGCTAAAGTGAACTGGGAGCGGGACGTAAGCCAAACGATTATATAAAAAAAAAAGTTCCAGGGGGAATCTGGTTACTTAATTTAAGATATGAAAATAAATAGAACTTGGAAAGTTTAAATTGATAAGGATTAAGTCTAGAGTTCTTGAAAGCAGAGATGGTGTCTTAGCTTTGTGTAAAACATACATCTACCTAGTTCAGAGCTTTATACCAAGAGGGTACCAGTAAATGTGAAGGAACGATAGAAAAATTGACAGTATGACTTGTGGGATACTAGCACCTAGATACAGTGTTTAATATGAAATCTGAGATTTGATATAGCAGTACTTGCCAAATGCATTGGAATTGCATTATGTATACATACACTTTACTTTAGAATACACTGACTTTTGACTTATAACCCCAGCTGGAGATGAGACCTATTTATCTCATGTACTACTTATAAGGCTAAATTATAAAACACAGTTATATCTGTTTGTCTTAAAAAACAGTATGGTTGGATATTCAGTCATCTACTTAGATCTTGTTTCTTAAATTTACTGATTCTTAAATGTCAGTGGGCGAAGAATTACCATTCAGGGATCTATCTATACACAAAAATGTTTACTTCCCCCTGTGGATGATTTAAGGGATTTTTCTAGAGTAAGTTTGACATTAAGGTCATCTTCAGCCAATCTACTGACTTTAGAACCCCCCAGTTAAAGATGCTACTCCATATCGAGATAGCAAAGAAGTTTCAAGGAGTGACGATTCCATTTGGTAGTGGCTGCTGAGAGTCCTGTAATGAAAAGGATTGGGAAGCCCTGTCATGCCATAATCCATTACTGAAGTACAGGATTGGAGGTGGGAGGTTGCTCACCTTTATTTTAAATAAAATAAGAGAAGTGTGCTTGCCTTTTTCCCAACCAGTTTTACTAAGATATAATTCACATACTATACAGTTCACCCTTTAAAATGTACACTTAAGTGGTTTTTAATATATTCCTAGCTGTACAACAAGCAACTTAAAACATTTTCAACCCAAAAAAGACCTGCACCCTTTAGCAGTAACTCCCATTCCCCTTCCTCCCCTTCCTCCCTGGAAACTAATACACTATCTGTCTCTATAGATTTGCCTCTTCTGGACTATTTCATTTAAATGGAATCATCCAATATGTGGTCTTTTAAGAATGTTTTTTTGTTTTTACTTAACATTATATTTTCAAGGTTTATTAATGTTGTAGCATGTATTAGTACTTCATTCCTTTTTTATTGCCAAATAATATTCCATAATATACAACATTTTGTTTATCCATTCCCCAGTTGATGGACATTTAGGTGTCACTTTGGGGCTATTATGAATACTGCTATGACCATTTATGTACAAAGTCTTATGTGGACTTATGTTTTTATTTCTCCTGGGTTTCTATCTAGGAGATGAATTGCTGGGTCTTATGGTAACTCAATGTTTAACCTTTTGGGGAACTGCTAGACTGTTTCCCACAGTTGCATGTGCTTGCTTTTTAAATTCAAAAGAAAAAAAATTCTTTCTAGTAATGGACTTTAATGCTAAGTTAAAACAGATTCAAATTATGTTCTAGAAAATTTTAGTCTCTTAACCTTAACCACAGAATTGGTTAGCTATGGCTCTCCCTTGCTGTGGTCATTTCTCTGACTTTAGAGATTGGATTTGTAGAACCCCACATGTATTTCTGAGAAGGAAGCAGCTTATGCAGAGAAAAATTAGTGAGTCTGTGTTGTGTTGTTGGAGTGAACTCCAGTGTGTCTAAGTACACAGCATTGAGAAAAGATAATCCTGTGGCAAATTAAACCCTAGCAATTGAGGTTGCATAGTGAGAGAGAGAGCAGAAGAAATTTTTGATACAGAAACTCTTTTCTGCAGGCCTCTCAGTATGGGAGAACTCTCAGACACATCTGCTGCCATAGCAGCCAGGAATGCATCTTAGAGAGTTAAGAGAGTTTTAAATCCAACTTTCCTCTGACCCTCCCAGCCCTGGCCTCATTTGCATTTCATAAAGTTTAGAGAATAGTAGAGCAAAATCTGACAATCTGGCATTTAGGAAGATAGGATGGAAATTTTCCCCCTTTCTGTTTTTTTTTTGTTTTTCTTGAGGTACATGATTTAATACAAATGACTTCCAAAGAATAATATTACTGATAATTTTAGTGACTGAAGAGGAATTGTCAGATCATAGGCCTCAAGTTGGTTCTTTGGAGTAAAATACAAGACATGTTTTCAAAAGACTACCAGAGATGAGATTGTATACATTGTATAATTATACATAAATTGAAAATGGAATTTAGATGTCGAACTTGGTAGACAGCTTTTCTCCCAGTAACTCCCTGGTATCTAGGTATGCCCAGGACTTTGTCATACAATTTCTGTACTAAATAAGTATAGCCTCTTAGTTTTTTTGTTTTCTTCAATTTTTTAGTGCTTAATTTCAGCCTAGGGAGTAAACAAGTTTTAAATAAGAAAAACAGTGCTAGAAATTAGATTTAGCTTGAGTAGTAGAGCCCTTATTCTCCCTTGGTTTCCTCACAGGGTGCGGTATATCTTGAATGTCACTCGAGAGATAGATAACTTCTTCCCAGGACTCTTTGAGTATCATAACATTCGGGTATATGATGAAGAGGCAACAGATCTCCTTGCTTACTGGAACGACACTTACAAATTCATCTCTAAAGCAAAGTGAGTAATGGGTCCTGAACACATATGCTTACACCTGTTCCTTGTGCACCATATATGGCTGGGGCCTGGAAGCTGTATATAACTTATTAATGGTACTTGTCGAGGGGAAACGAAGTAAAGAAAAAAAGACTGAGATTTCTTAATCCTAGGGAAAAGATGACTTAGTTACTTAATACTTTTCCTTTAAGTAGATGAAGCCCCTAGAAGAAAATAATCTCATGTTGGTTATTTCCATTGAGCACAAAATTAAAGTAAATAAACAAGCTGCAGCAAAAGAAATAGAAATGAGGAAGGAAGAAATTCTGAATGAAACACTTATTAAGTTGCTAATAGGGACATTTGAAAGTTATATAATAGAAATTCATCCAGATAGGTAGAATACAGAGTCCTCCTCTTTGAAGACAAGGAAGTAAACGTAATGAACTTTGGAAATCTTTTCTCCTTTTTTTTTAATTTTACTTTTATGATACTCTAGTGAAATTTTTCTCAGGCCTTTCTTTGATATCTTTCTTAAATTGGTCCTTTTTTAAAAATTTTAATTGGTTCTTTTAAATAGCCAATTAAATTTTTAAAAATTTTTAAAAATTTAATTGGCTATTTAATGTTCTTAATTTAGTGTTTCATATTAATTAGTATTTAATATGTCAACACTGATTTTTTTAAGTTTCTTGGGATTTCCTTGTCAATCTTATTTATGATTTCAATAGAAAGAACCATAAATGAGAATGTTAGTCATGCTCTCCTTTCTGGTGGGACCACATTCAAATCATCCCTGGCAGATGAGAAGCATTTCTGTTTTTAAAGTCTTCCTTCAAGAATGATTCCATACTTCTCTTAAAGACTTTTCTGGTTAGGAAATTCTTCCTTTTAGTTATCCTGAATTCCCATACTCTAGTTTTGAGCTCATTCTCTCAGTCTCTAGCCAGCACCTGAAAGCATTTTATATTCTTGGATCCTATTACTAAACTATTCTCAATAATAATACCACTCGTAGCATGCTTACTATGTGTCAGGTATTTTACATTTATTCTCTCATCTTTTCCAAAACTCAGTGAGGTATATATTGTTATCCTTCTGTACAGATGTGGACAGACTATAGAGTTAAGGTTCAGAGAGGTTAAGTAACAAGTGGTGGAGCTAGGACTTGAATCTAAGATCATGTCTCATATCAAAGTTCATCAAGTATATAAGAGTGGTCTAGTCCCTTACAGAAAATGAACTGGAAAAGACTAGGCAGGTTGTCAGGGTCACAGCTAAAGAGGCTAGAGTTCAAGGTGAGACCCCAGTCTCAATGAAAAGAAAAACTGATTTTAACAGGGCTGGAATTAGGGTGAGGTTCATGAGGCACCCAGGTTACATTTAAACAACTCTCACTCTCAGGTCAGCATCTGAGAGTGAGTACCTCCTTAAATGGCACCCTGGGCACCTCATGTGTTTCACCCTAATCAGGGCCCTGAATTCCAGACTGTACAGATGGGTGGGTTTAGGATTACTAATGTGATGCCAGGCTTCATCTGGACAGTCCAGCACTGGGTGTGGTTGGGAGGGAGGGAGGCAGTTGTGGGGTGGGTGTTAAACCTAAAAGCTAAAGTTGGATTAGGTGAGAACTGACTTCACATCTTTTGTTACATGAGTAGGAACCATCCACTAAAACAAACAAACAAACCCAATTCAAAATGATGAAATGTTTTCATGGGAGTGGATTTCATAATTGTGTTTTTCTTAGGGTTGTCCACGTTTGAGCACCTTCCATGCCTACAGGAATAGACCTGAAATTTAATGTGTTAAAGTTGTCAGAGCTTGATGAAAACAGAGAGAGTAGGTCTGAACTTTCATCTGAGTCACTGTGCACTGGCTTCCCAACTATAGTATAAAGGAAAACCCTATGGTGCCATAAACAAAATAAGTATTTCCTAGTCACTTGGGATAATCTAAGCACACAGAGACACATACCACACCAACCTTAGGACACCAAAATTTTGCATCTAATTGCAAGGTTTGAGGTTGATCTTCGTTTTGAGACTGTTTCAATTATTCCAGACCATTCTCTGCATTCTTGTATCTTTTCTGGCTCACTCATGTTGGCACTTAAACCCATGCTTCCTTGCATTGGCACTTAACTCTTTCATGTGTCTTTGTCTCCAGCTGAAGGATTATAAGCTTTTGGAAGGAAGCTTGTCTATTATAATACAGTGAGTGAATGAGTGAATGAATAGATTTCCTGTTAAGCTGACATGTGCATTTTTTTTTTAAATTTATTGGAATAGCCACTTGGGAAGAATTCCAACCTGTATATATTATCCTAGTGATAAGAGTAAGCACTTTTTTCCAGATTTTAAAATGTTCCTACTCATAGCTGACATCTAATCAGCAGATCCATAAGTTTGTTCATACATTTAGCAAATATTTGAAGGCTTATTCTGTGCCAGACACTGTTATTAGCAGAATTAGCATAACTGAGTAATGTTCCTATCCAAGGTAATACAGCCTGCATCCTAAGACTAAGGGGTTTTGTTTTGTTTTTTAGTATCACTTTATGGTAACTTTGTTTTCTTGTTCTTCCACTCCATTAAAAAAAAAAAAAGGTAATTATTCATTCCACCCTCCTCACTGAGAAGGCCATGTGGTACATCACACATGGTCCTCTCCAGCTCCACAGGTTGTCCTGCCAATCCCTAGACAGAATATGGGTGGTGGTGTGAAAAATAATATCCAGGGCTACATCTGAGTAAAGAGGAGGGTTAGTTTCATTTGGTTTGTGCTTTCCTCTAGGGCCAGAGCCCTTACTGGAACTTGAACTGGAAGCAGTTCAGAACACTTGGATAAATTAAGTGAATCACTGCCACACCTGTAACTCAAGAGCAGGCCAGCCATGAAACATGCCCCTGGGGCTATGAAGGGACTGGCCTCCAACCACATACAAAATGAGGTCCAGTCTCTAAACTGAAAAGTCTTTTGGGACACTCTGACCAACTGTCATTGCAACTACCATTTTGCATTTTAATTGTGCTTCTCTTA